CATTGAGCCTATATGAAAAGACTAGAAAGAGAAAATGTTTGTGCTAGAAATCAAAGCAATACAGTTTTACTATAAGCTCTATCAATCATTTTTAATGTCATCTTAGTTAAGCCATTTTCCCTTCCTGAAACCCAGAATATCAAGCTTTAAAATTAGGAATTGAAAAGGAGAGATCCAAGATGGCAGAGTAGAGAAACACTACAAGGTTGGACAATTAAGTTCACAAACTCATCCTAGAAAAAGTGCTACATATCTCGTTACTGAATATCACTATAGTCACCTTTGAAGTACTCCCCTTGGGAAGCTATGCCCCAACACCAGTGCCTAGTCCACCCTTCAAAGCAATTTTTTATGTCTTTTTCTGGAATGGCCATCAGAGCTGTCGTCATATGACACATGATATCCTGAATATCATCAAAATGTCTTCCTTTCAACATTTTCTTTATCTTCGGGTAAAGAAAGAAGTCATTGGGGGCCAGATCAGGTGAGTGGGGAGGATGTTCCAATACAGTTATTTGTTTACTGGCTAAAAACTCCCTCACAGACAGTGCCATGTTTAGCTGGTGCATTGTTGTGATGTAGGAGCCATGAATTGTTGGTGAAAAGTTCAGGTAATCTAACTTTTTCATGCAGCCTTTCAGCATTTCCAAATAGTAAACTTGGTTAACTGTTTGTCTAGTTGGTACGAATTCAGAATGAATAATCCCTCTGATATCAAAAAAGGTTAGCAACATCATTACAACACGTTCGCGAACTTAATTGTCAGACCTCGTATGCCTGCTTCCTTTCATGAACACATTAAAATTACAACTAAATTATAGATCAATCAACCTGAAGAACCATCTGAAGTCTGGCTAAACAGAAGTTTTATAACTAAGATTATAAAAAAGAAGCCATATCGAGACTGGTAGGAGGGGTGGAAACGTGAAACAAGCTGGCCCCAAACCTCCGTATGGTAGTTGAGAACCGGGATGGATATCTTAGCCATGGAGGTTTCCCCCAGAGGAATGTGAGACCCCAGCCCCACATCGGCCTCACCAGCCCAGATTACTGGTGCCGGGAAGAGCAGCCCCCACAACATCTAACTGTGCAAGACAGTGGGGATTCCATCCATCTGGTGGGATGGAAGGCTGCAGGAAACCCAGACATCCTCTTAAAGGGCCCAGGCACAGACTCTTTCACTCACAGGCACTCATCTTGGGCTCCGGCAAAAGGACAGTAACTCAGGGGGCATTGAAAGCATACGGGAGGGCAGACTGAGATGTGTGGCTTCAAAGCAAGGGCTGGAGGACAGTTGCCATTTCTCCTTCGAGGGGGCCTCCTCCCATGCAGCCTGCAGGTAGGTACCATCTTTCCTGTGATGAGCCCATCCCCACAAAGCCAAATCTGAATCTGATTGGTCTGTTGAGCTCTGCTGCTCCACCTTGCTGACTCATTGGGACCCACTGCACCCAACTTGCTCAACACCTGAGGCACTTTCTCCGAGAGCAGCCAGCCCCACCTGTATTGCACCCTTTCTTGAAAAACTATCGGAATCTGCAGGACCCTGGTGGGTGGCAGCTGGCCATGGTGTGCTCTGAGACTTTTGCTGAGTAGCTCCAGGCTCACCGCCAGTCTACATTAATCTGTTGACCACAATTCTTCCCACTCTAGTGACTCCCTAAAACCCTACCTCACCCAACTTATGTACCGCACAAGGCTTTATCAGGGGCTGAACCTTAAGGGAGCCAGCAGGTGGCAGCAGGCTACGGGGTGTCCTGGCTTTTTGTGGAGCAGGCCCAGTACTGGTGCCAACTGTCCTCAGTTCACAGCGTGACCTCTCTCACGCACCTCCAGAGTTAGCACAGGCAGTGAATAACTGTGGATTGCTTTGTAGCTCCTACCAGGTAGCCCAGCCAATCACAGACAGTGAGTGACCTGGGCCTGCACTGGAGCCCCTCACAAGAGGCCCCAGGACCAACATACTTGGAGGTTGGCTTCAGACCACAGCAGAGCACCACCCAATTAGCTCCACAAGTGGCACACACAAAGGGCAGTCTCAACAGGCACCAGAGCCCACTGGAGTGAATCCAACTCAGTGGAGCAAACCTCCCACACAGCAGCCTGTAAAATGTGAATGTGGCCAAACCCCATAGCTAATCAGCCTGAGGGTAAATCCCACTCACTGATGTGCCAATAGCAATCAAGACTCAACTATAACAGAAGGGCACGCACAACCCACACAAGGGATATTCCTGGAGTACCTAGAGCAAGTGACTAGGGAGACTGTGCCAGGGCCCCATATGACACCTACTACATAAGGCCAGCCGGCCAAGACTGGGAAACATAGAAGATCTACCTAACACATAGAAACAAACACCAGTAGGCAGCCAAAATGAGGAAACAAAGCAATACATCCCAAGTGAAAGAACAGGAGAAAACTCCAGAAAAACAGAACTAAACAAAATGGAGGCGAACAACCTACCAGAGATAGAGTTCAAAACACTTGTTATAAGGATGTTCAAGGAATTTAGTGAGAACTTCAACAGAGAAATAGCAAGCATAAAAAGGACATAGAAACCATAAAATAACAACCAGTCAGAAGTGAAGAATACAATTACTGAAATGAACAATACACTAAAAGGAATTACCAGCAGACTAGATGAAGCAGGTGATCAAATCAGCTATTTGGAAGACAAGGTAGCAGAAAATACCTAATTGGAACAGCAAAAGGAAAAAAGAATTTTTAAAAATGAGGACAGTTTAAGAGACCTCTGGGACAACATCAAGGGTAACAACATTAACATCATAGGGGTACCAGAAAGAAAAGAGAGAAAGCAAGGGATTGAGAACCTATTTGAAGAAATAATTGACTGAAAACTTTCCTAACCTGGAAAGAAAATAGACATACAAGTCCAGGAAGTGCAGAGAGTCCCAAACAGAATGAACCCAAACAGGCCCACACCAAGACACATTATAATTAAAATGGCAAAGGTTAAAGACAAAGAGAGAATCCTAAAAGCAGCAACATAAAGGCAACTAATAACTTATAAGAGAGCTCCCATAAGATTGTCAGCTGATTTCTCAACAAATCTGCAGGCCAGAAGGAATTCGAACAAAATATTCAATGTGACGAAAATCAAGGACCTACAACCAAGTTTACTCTACCCAGCAAAGCTATCATTTAGCATCAAAGGACAGATAAAGATCTTCCTAGACAAGAAAAAACTAAAGAAGTTCATTATCACCAACCAGTATTACAAGGAATGTTAGAAGGACTTCTTCAAGATGGAAAAAAAAAAGACCAAAATTATGAATTATAAAATGGCAATAGCTACATGTCTATCAGCAATTAGTTTTAATGTAAATGGATTAAATGCTCCACTAAAAGACATAGGAGGACTGAATGGATAAGTAAACAAACTCTTACATATGCTGCCTATGAGAGACTCATGTAAGATTGACACAACCCAGATGGAAAGTAAAGGGATGGAAAAATATATTTCATTAAAATGGAAATGAAAAACAAATAAACCTGGGGTAGCAATACTTATACCAGACAAAATAGGCTTTAAAACAAAGGTTATAACAAGAGACAAAGAAGGACCCAGTAATTCCACTTCAGTGTATTTATCTGAAGAAACCCAAACTGCTACTTTGAGAGAACGTGTGCATCCATATGTTTGCAGTATTGTTTACAATGGCAAGATATGGAGGCAGTCTGGGAGTCTTTTGATGGAAGAATGGATAAAGAGGAGGTGGTACATACATACAATAGAATATTGCTCGACCAGGGAAGGAATGTCTTCTTGCCATCTGTGATGACATGGATGGACCTGGAGGGTATTGGGCTTAGTATGATATGTCAGACACAGAAAAACAGATGTAGTGTGATTTTACTTATATATTAAATCTAAAGAACAAAATAAACAAACTAAACAGAAACAAACTGATAGATAATATAAGTTTAAACTGATAAATATTATCAGATAAAGAGATAATATTTGGATGGTTGCCAGATGGTAGGGGGTTAGGGGTTAGTAAAAAAGGGAAAGGGATTAAGAAGTACAAATTTGTTGTTACATGGTAATCATGGGAATGCATACGGAATATAGTCAATAATATTGTAATAACTATGTATGGTGTCAGATGGGTACTAGATTTGTTAGGGTGATAGATGGGAGGGAGGCTGGAAGCAGGGTGAAAAAAGTGAAGGGATTAAGAAATACAAACTAATAGTTATAAGATAGTCATGGGGATGTAAAGTAAAGCTTAGGGAATATAGTCAATCTTATGGTGATAACTATGTATAGTGCCAGGTGAGCACTAGATCAGTCAGGGGATCATTTCTTAAATTATATAATTGTCTAACCACTGTGCTGTACACCAAAAATTAATATAAAATAATATTGAATGTCAACTGTAATTGAAAATTTTTTAAATGGGGGGAAAGCTGAAGGAGAATAAGAGGTCCAAATTTCCAGGTATAAAACAAATAAGTCATGGGGATGTAATGTACAGCATAGGAAATATAGTCAATAATATTGTGATAGCATGGTACAGTGTCAGATGTTTGCTGGACTTATCATGGTGAGCACTTTTTTAGGCATATAAATGTCGAATAACTATGGTATACTTCAGAAACTAATATAACATTGTATGTTAGCTATATTTTAATTTTAAAAATATTAAAATAAATTTAAAAAGAAAAATAAATTGAAAAAAGTAAGGAATTGAAATAAATTCCATTGACCCTCCCAACTCTAATTGTCCATAATTTTCTCATTCTTGAGACACCTGCATGCATGTCCTTCATCAATCGGAGGGTTGTAAGCAACAGTTTTGCATTTCCCGCAATTCCACATCTTTTGACAATGACAAGGTTCACGGTTTATGGATCCTATTTCTCAGAAGTTTGGTGCTGGTTGGTTGTGGTTACTTGTTTTTATTAAACCAGGACCTGATCAGTAATGCTGAAGTGGCCTTGTCTGTCTTCTTGTATCTTGTCCCTTGCCCCGCAGCCATGCTGCAGGCAGTGCGAGCCCTGATGGTCGTGGGGATTGTCCTGGGTGCCATTGGCGTCCTGGTGTCCATCTTCGCCCTGAAGTGTATCCGCATTGGTAGCATGGAGGACTCCGCCAAGGCCAAAATGACACTGACCTCCGGGATCATGTTCATTATTGCAGGTAAACAAGGAGCCTGGGGCTCCTGCTCTCAAATGTGCTTCTGGTAATGTCAAAGCAAAATCATTCTGGCAGAGGAAACACATCCTCTCCCTACTGAGCATAGTTTAAACATAGTTCAGAGCTTTGCACACTGAGATTCAAGGTCTAAGATTAAGGCCCAGTTACACTCTACAGAATTATCATGGGTGCTAGGTTCACCTCTTAGCTGCCACCCCAGTCTCGTTATAAGAGATTCCCAACCCTAAGGTAGTCACGTGATTCAACCCCTTAAAGGCATGATTTTGGTAAGACTCTAGAAAATGACTTCAAGGGAAGAGCTCTTGACATTTTCAAAGGACCAAGCCCCTGATATTTGTACTATTAATCATTGATCCCAAGATGCATGAAAAATCTTTCTGCGAATATACAAATCCTTCCACAATTAGAGAGTCTAAGCACCTAGCACAGTGTCTAGTACATAGTGGGAATTCAATAATCAGTGCTTGGATAGACCATCTGTTATAGGAATGGAATATCCCTATATTTCATATCTCGTCTAACTCATTTAAGCATACGTTGCCTCAGAAACATTGTGATCCCATTAAAGCTGGCTCTGGAGCTTTTTTGTTCTTGGTCCATAGGTCTTTGTGCCATCGCCGGAGTGTCTGTGTTTGCCAACATGCTGGTTACTAACTTCTGGATGTCTACAGCCGGCATGTACACCGGCCTGGGTGGGATGGTGCAGACCGTTCAAACCAGGTAACCTCCTAATCTAGGCCTCAGGATTCCATGGTGAATATTGTTGCAAAAATCCGATTAAACACATATGCCTAATGTGACTGTCAGTGCCTGAAATAGCAAAAATTTATCAGAGGCAACCATGCTATCTTAAATCAACAATGATCTGTAAATTCTAACCTTCATTTCAGTGAAATATCCTTGGTGATATGACTGGAGGCTGATCTGACATTTGCATTGAAATACTGTGACAGCTCACAGTATTTATCTAACACTCTTACACAAGCCCCATTGTGGTGGCAATGAAACAGGCACTGTTAACCAAGGCATGTAAATGAGCATCAAACCACATCTCCAGTCCATGACGGGAACCTAGCTAGGGACAGGTAAAAGCTTGAACAGAAATGAGCAAGGTGCAGTATAGGTGAGAAAAGTAATGTTTCATCCTTGTACAGCTGCCTCTTTCTCTCTTTCATTAATTCATTCATTCTATAAATGCATTGAGCACCTGCTATGGGCCAGGAACTGTTCGAAGTGCGGGGGATAAAGACAAGGTCCTTGTTCTCATGGAGGTTGTGGTCTAGCAGAAGGAGATAAAACCCCACTATAATTTGGTGTCTGAAGGAAGGTAGAATTTTTAAAAGATGGAAAAGCAGTTCCAACACGTGTATTCATTTAGCCACTTCAAAGGGACATTTCTCATAGCAAGAAGCAGCAGCAAATTCCTGAAGGAGAAAGATCTTGTTCTGGGAGGGTGATATAAATATTATACTTAAGAAGAGACATGTGGTGTTTTTCCAGCCACAGCATCATGGGATACAGACAGGATGTAAGAATGTGATAAACCCATTTGCTCTCTGGCTCCTTGAAACTTCAGTCCCTATCCATGTCCCTGCTTTGTTTCAAAAATGGAAAGGAAGTGATTCTCATAGCTGCCCTCATCCATGTCCATGGTCCTCCCAAGGTTTCTTGGTTATAAGAGCAACTTAGAAGTAAACAGACCAACTCATCCCAGTTTACCTGGGACTTGCCCAGCTTTAGCACAGGAAGTCCCATATCCTGGAAAGCTCCTCTGTCATGGGCAAATCTGGATGGTTGCTCACCCTACTTAGAAGAGCCCACCTTGTCCAGAGCTTCTAGGTGCCTAGTGTCACTGTCCCTGCCCAGAGGAGCCACCTGCCACCTGGCACCCAGCACTGATGCATGCCATCACTCTTTCAAAGCATGTCCCTAGAACCTGCCCCTGTCCCTTGGGCAGGCAACTTCAGCCCTGAGATTGAGACCAGAGGATTCTGAGAGGCCTGCTAAATGTCCTCCATGGATGGGCAGCAGTTTTTCTCTTTCTTCTCACTTTCTCCACCCAGAAGACACACAAGACAGTACAGGTGCCAAGAAAGATCTTGGCAGTTAATCGATGGGGCCTTGGTTCTGGTGCCCCATTTGGACCCAGCGTCCCCTCCTCCTGCCCCTGGACTCTGCACTGCTATGTTGAATGTAACATTGGCAGAGCCTAAGCCCTGGATCAGAGGTATAAACTGTCCGTCCTCATCCTGTACACAGCTTGCAAGGTGTTTTGAATGTTTTGAACATTTCATTTTATAACCCGAATTAATCACCAACTTTTAAAAATTAGAAGTGTCGTAGTTTGGGTTACTTAGAAACAACATCCTGATGATCCGTGTGTGACTGATTGACTAAGGAATGGAAGACTGGTGAGGGCGTGGGGCAAGCAGGACAGGCAAGAGGGTGCTCTCAGATGAAGTCTTGGGCTGAGCCTCATCCTAGGCAGCTGTGGGGTCTTAACTCCGAACTTTCATACTTCGGCACCAGCCAGCCTCTGTGCACGAGGGCAAAGTGACTCCAGTGGCTGAACCAAAGCCAGAACCCCGGGAGAGTCACAGGGACCAGCAGGTAAAGGCAAAAGAACACAGGAGCTGGTGGAGAGACACGGAAATGGTTCAAGGGTCAGAGGGGACCTGGGCAGCACGCCATTCGTACCTGCTACTAGGAGATTTCATAGCGTGCGCGCGCGCGCGCGCGCATGCACGCACACACACACACACACACACACACACACCTGTTTTTCCACCTTCTTGTAAAAAAAAAAAGAAAAAAGGAAAGAAAATCAGAAGATCTGGCAGCACTGGGCCCTCATTCTCATAGGGCAACACTCTCTGCAGCTGAGAGGCAGCTGGGGGCTCAGAGTCTCCACTTTGCCAAGTCCCCACCACTCTCAGGTCATTATCATCATGTTTATGGTTCCCCCACCCCCCCATATAGTAGAGTTAAGAAAGTGAAATATATTTTTATACCCACCCCACTTTAGTCATTTATGTTTCTTACCTGTCCCAGGTAAGCCTATAAATTTGCTAACCTTGACTAAGAGTGTCTAAGGTGAGTAAGGGGGCCATGTTCCTCAAGCAAAGAGGATAGTATAGTTGAATGATTAACAGGGAGGGCTATGGAGGCAGAGTGGCCTGAATTTGAATCCTGGCAATGCCATGTCCTTCCTGAGTCTTTGGACAAGTTAATTAACCTCTCTGAGCTTTCATTTCCTCATCTGTAAAACAGTCATTTCAACTTAGTTCTTTCTGAAGACAGTACTCCTACCTACAAGGATGGTTGCCAGGGCTACTTGAGGCAAGTGAGATGAAGGCTTCTTGGCCCACAGTAAGAACTCAGGAGAGCAAACTTCCTTCAGAAATAATAACTTGAGACTGATTCCATATCTCTCAAACGTCTCTGGCCAAACCTTCAAGACATTTCCCTTTGGTAGTAAGGAGGGGAGGGGGATTTCCTGAGATGTTTCTCTGAAATTAGAGATTTATAATTAATGTTATGCCTCAGTGATCCTACAGGCCCAAGAAACCGCTGCTGTTCTGATGACTAGCATAAGTCCCAGTGCTATTCTCCACAGCACCTGATTCAGTTGGCTGTGACTCAAAGGAGTATGTGTTCAGAGGGTATGGGCAGGGATAGGTGTAGAATCCAAAGGCGGAACAGAGGGGACGGGCATGGCCAGGTGCAGTGGGTGGAGCCTGGAGAGTTGAGTCAACCACATTCAAAGCCATCATCTCCCCTCTCAGGTACACCTTCGGTTCGGCTCTGTTCGTGGGCTGGGTAGCTGGAGGCCTCACGCTAATTGGGGGTGTGATGATGTGCATCGCCTGCCGGGGCCTGGTGCCTGAGGAAACCAAGTGAGTCCCCCATCCCAATGCAATCAGATGTTTGATCCAAGTCTTTTTTGACATATCATTTGCAACCAGAATGATCAGTGTAGGTATATGGAATAACATTGTTGACTAAAAGATCAAGAACCTTCTCTTTTATAAGGAGCCTAGGTGTGATCCTATTTGAAGGGAAAAAAACATCCATGTGGGTTCCCTCTGGCTCCAATAGTCTTTAATTCAATGGCTCTCAGCTGGGAGCAATTTGTCCCCAAGGGGATATCAGTAACATCTGAAGATACTTTGATTGTTAACAACTTGAAGTGTGGGGGGACAGGTAATACTGGCATTTGGTGGGTGGAGGCCAAGGGTGTTGCTAACCATCCTACAATACACAGGCAGGCCCCCACAACAAAAAAGCATCGTTCTAAGTGTCAGTAGTACTGCTGCTGAGAAAGCCTGCTGTAACTCCATAAATGGACCAGAGTTGAAAGACCTAGATCCCAGTCTGGTTCTACTGCTAACTAGCCTTGTGACCCCTAGAAAACCATTTACCTTCTCTGGACCTCTGTTACCTTATCCATAAACTGAGCAGATTAGAGTAGATGGCCTGCATGTAGGCACCTTCCAGCTCACAAATTTTATGATTCTTTGGCATAACCAAGTTCCCCCTGGACATTGTTTCTGGTTCCACTTCACTTTAATTAATTAACAGAAGGAACTCACTAGTCACTAACTACCAGCTCTAATACAAAGCAAGAAATTCTGCTCCACTGAAGAGGCAGAAAACCAATGTCCCAAAGCCTAGACTGACCAATCATCTCAGTTTGCCCAGTACTAAGGGTTTCCTGGGACACTGGACTTTCAGTGCTGAAACTGAAACATTCCAGGGTAAATGAGGTGATTTTTCCTCCTGCCAAATACATCTATGGTCATGAAACATTTCTTTTTCTTTCAGCTACAAAGCCGTGTCTTATCATGCCTCGGGCCACAATGTGGCCTACAAGTCCGGAGGCTTCAAGGCTAGCACTGGCTTTGGGCCCAACACCAAAAACAAGAGGATATATGATGGGGGTGCCCACACAGAGGACGAAGTACAATCTCATCCTTCCAAGTACGACTACGTGTAGTGCTCCAAGACACCTTGGCATGGACAGAAGAAACCCCCCATGAGAGCTCACCCCCCAAACAAGGACATTTTACCTTGATTCCTGATTGCTTGTGACTCACAGCTGGAAGTTAGGAGAGCCTTGATTTCACCTGCGGTGAGGCCACATGGTCTTAGCCTCATGTCTCTGTCTCTCGATGTTCCATCACAAAACAGTTATCAGATATAAACTAGAGGCAACAGCTCACATTTCCAATTCTCTATTTCTTTTTTTAATATAACCTCCCTAACCTAATGATAAAATGTGGTTTGAATTCCTATCAGACACTTGGATGATTTAATCAGACTCTCCCTCCTCCTTTAGCCAACAGCCCAATGATGATCTATTTCTCAACTCATCCCCTAGAACAATTCTGAAAAGAAAAAAACAGAGTCAGTCAAAAGACATCATTTTCTGCTATTAGATTGTTGCCACCTCCCCCCCAACTTGGCTACTAATAAACACTAATTGAAGATGAGGTAAGAGGAGAAAGATATTTGTGATATCTCCGGCTCATTATCTGAGTTTTCTTACACTGTGATCTTAAACGTTACTGGGACCAAAGTGACTTCAGTTTGAGGAAACCAAGCCTTTCCATTTCTTTTGGCATCTGCTAATTCCTCTCCCAGGAGTTTCCTGAGCTCTCCACTGCAGGTCTTCTTTCTGTCAGAGGCCAGAAAGTGTCCCAAGAGGAATGAGAAGAGGATTTTTTTTTCTTTTCATAATCTAAATATATTTGGTATACTATAGTTAGAATAAATAATGTATCAGTAAAATGATGCACTGTCTCTGTGAATTAGCCTCACTCCCACACATGGATAGAAGAAAATGAAAAAAATAATTGCTTTGATGTTGTCTATATTGTACTTTGTAAAAATCACATTTAAGTCCAAATTTCATAAAATGCTTACTGATCCTAATTTCCTTTGAGTTCTCCATGACTCTGATTACAGTGATAGTGTCAGTGTAACCCATGTAAAAACCAAATAATGGAATACAGCAGGTCCTAGGAAATGAGTTGAAACTAGTTCTTTCAAAACATAAAAAAAATGATGAGCCTGAATTTAATGTTACATTGCCAAGTGCCACATGTCCACACTTTCATGGCTATAGGCCACTGTCAGTTTACAGTAGACCTACTTGGCACTTTGGTCAGCTTTGTTACTTTGGGAGATGTTCTCTTCAATAAATTCACCTAGAGTAGTTGGACTATTGAATGTTCAAGAACTGAAAGCTCTTTGCAGCCACACACCTTCCCTACGTTTATTACTGCTACAGAAAGCCTAAACTCCTTCCAAGCCACCAGAATTCTATCCCAGCACTAGAGCCAGAATAGGCCCCCTGGGAAACTAAAGTAAGGGCAGTGTCTCTAAACTACCTATTCAGGGAGCAGCATTGAAAGGGGGAATTTGGCCACTGGCTTATTATTTGAGGAAAAAAGTTCTCACACCAATAGTGCATTTGAAAGTGACCTCCAAGGAGATGGGTAATATTCATAGGGGTCTTTAGGCTGGACAAACTATATCTGGGGAAAGATCATGGCTCATTAAACAGAAAAGAAGTGTGTTCACCAAGAGTCAAAATAGAACCTTCTCACTGAGACAGCAATTGGTTTTAGGCCAAGGCAAATAGAGTACTCACGGGACACATTGTCTGAGATGGGATGAAGGATGAATAATTAAAGAAAACAGGGGTTTGAATGGAGGAAGTTCAGCAATCTAGGGCATGGAGATTGTTAAAGAGTCTCAGGATTTGAATTCAAGGCCATGGGGCACAATGAGCTCTCTCTCCTATCACCAAAAAGGCCCTGGTCAGGTCTGAAGTACTGAGTTGTGTCCCAGCTAGGTTTTTAATGAACACATTCTCTATCCAACACTTAATTGTTTGAAAGTCCCCATGTAGTTAGATTGTGCTTTGTAATTTTTTTGTTGCTCTCTTTTATTGTATATGCATTGAATATTGACTTGCATATTTTGTTACTTAAATATTAAAAACACTGTTATCTCACATTTGAACAGCTTCTGCTCTTTTTTCCTAAGATTCAGGAAATGGAGGTGGGAGTTTCAGCATCTCAAAGCTGAGTGCATCTTCCTGGAGTGTTTCTGCTGGAAGAATCTGTGTCTGCCCAGTGGCAGCATGGCCACCTGGAGGCCAGCTAGGTCTGATTCAGCCCAGTTAGTGGTTTCTGCAAGTTAAGAAGTCTAAATAAGAAGGGATTCCCAGAACAGCTAGGAATGCAGTATGAGATCCTAGGACCAAGTTTAGCTTGTCTGATCCTGAGTGCACCAGCCTGAAGTGTCTAATGTTATTGGCCTGCCCATAAGCTAGTAAAACAGGAGGGCCAGTGCCTGTCCTTTTGATGATGTCAAGGTCTGGGTTCACCAGCTCAGTTAGCTGTACTCACTGAACTTCCATCAGGCTGTAGAAAAACCACGAGCTATAGAAAACAGCCCAAACTCAAATCCAGGCCACACCACTTTCCAGCTGTGTTAAATTAAGCAAAGCACTTAACCTTTCTGAGTCTCAGCTTCCTTATCTAGAAAATGGGGATAATAAGGATAATGAAATAATGCAAGTTTGTCACCTATTTAAGTAACAAACACCCAACTTGTACAAGTTTTTAGACATATAGGACCATTGGCTTATGTAACTAGGATATCTGAAGCCAGGATTGGCTTCAGGCATAGCTGGATTGAAGGATATGATCAAGACTCCACCTTTTTCTGCCCATATTTCAGTTCTGCTTTCCTCTCTGTTGATTTGCTTCTGAGGCAGGTTGTCCCCACAGGATAGCAGTGATGGCCGCTCGTATTTCTAGGCATATGCCATCTTTCAGCTAGGAAAGCTTACCAAAAAGAGCTATCTCTTTCCTGATACTTTTAGGACAAAAAATAAATCCCAATAAAACTCACTGGGATATCTGAGTCATCCATCCCTAAACCTCTTCCTATAGCCAGAGCAGTGGTATTTAGCTTAACAAAGCCTGGGTCCCATAGTCAAAACATAAAAATTTGTTGTATGCCACAAAGACTGTATTCTAAGGACCCGAGTCCTTAGATATCAGGCAAACTCATTGCTTTGCCTAAGTTTTCACACTTTTGGTTGAACATAAACTCCAAGAAAAGCTTCAGAAGCACAACCTCTGAGCCTCGGACTGGTTACAAAAACAGCATAGTATTTATAGTTCAGAGAGGGAGAAACTGGAAATTACCCTGCTCACAGAAAACTGATCATTAAAACCTAAAAATGGTGAAAACTTGACATTCAATTTTAAACAAGTGGGGTTAGAAAACTGATTAGTAAAAAACTGTCCTCAGCTATATAATTATGAGCTATTCAAATTTAGATTTCCTAAGATTAGGGGCATTTTGAAGACTCCTGTGCAAAGACAGAAATGGAGGAATCAAGTCATAGTGTACATACTCAAAATATGACTCACCATCATAATCTATAAAAATCCCCTGGGAAATCCAGAGGAGTTGGCTACTAAGTGTTTTGCTGTCATCCACCTTGAGGTCCAAAAAAAATTTAATCAATGCCTCTAGGAGATGCCCAATATTTTTACCATTTTCTCGGGTAGGGTAATATTCAGCCCTGTCCTGCCTTCACGGGACATTACACAGGATCAACCACTGCAATGGCCACATTTTTTTTGCCAAAGTGCAATCTCAAAGCTGATGCATTCCACTGGAGAGAGCACTGCATTTGGCATCAAAAACCTAAACTTTGGTTCCAATTCCACTGTCAACCAGTTATATTACCTTGAAGGATTAATTACAATAATTCACCAGCACCTTTTCATTATTTTGCTTCTTTATTAAGTCCTTGTGATTATCAGCACAGCGTTTAGTGTTTTTTATACTTTATCTCTGATCTTCAACCATCCTGATCTCACTCCACTAACCTTCAACCTGTGACCAGTCTGAGTGTCCTGAAGCCCCAAGACATTTGTCAGGGACCACACGTATACAAACGCACACTCACAGATAGATGCTCACATTCAGACACCCAGTTATATCTCTGGGTCCTCATGAGGGACCATGATTTTTTTCAGTTCTCAAGCATTTGTAGATAACTCAGAAATACTTTTGAACTATTCCATTCCTCTAGCTGATTTTTCATACCTCCCAATCCACAATTAGAAAAGAAAGGGATTATTCTCTTCATAATAGCCCAAATTAATGTGGAATGAGTATAAGAAATATTAAGAATTGAGGATAAACAGAGTTCCTTTCGGTTTAAAATTAAGTGCAAGAAACAATACCGTGGAAACAAAATGTCACTAAAATGCTTCAAATGCATTCAAATACCATTCTGGAGTAAAAGAATTTAATTTAGATAATAAAAAGGGATCTAACAGTGATGGGCATTCCACCACGATACTCAGTACTAAAGGCAGATACTACCCAATGACCAACTAAGATGAAATCTCTTAGCTACCCCTGCCATAGTGGGCTGATAAAAGAAATTAGAGATTTCTTCCTCAGAGAATTTTCCAGGGAAAGGTGGGTCCTGCTTGTTGACAAGGAACATACAAATCCATTCCATAGAAAACATAATATTTTGTCCAATCTTTTAACTAGCTTTTGGGAAGAATTTAAAGATAATGTTATATCTGGGCTGGCAGAGTGGCGCGATGGTTAAGAACTGGCTTGGGATGCCAGAGGGACCCAGTTTGGATCCCACATATGAAGGCCAGTGACACTGCCCTCCACAGCTAAGATGCTGAACAACAGCTCAACCTGGAGCTGGGCTGCCATGAGTCGCCGGCGACAGCGTAGGCTACAGCCCCTGTGGCAGTGGGTTGCCATGGGCTACCATGTGTAGCCAGCAGCCAGCATAAGTAGCCAGCAGCTGCAGTGAGCGGCCATCCAGAAGCAGGTGACTGATCTGCCTCGCCTGGGAAGAGCGCAATGATGGTGCCAACTTGAGCCAGTGAAGCAATGTTCTCCACAACTAGACTGAAGAACAAAAGGACAGCAACTTGTCTGTTCCCCTTCCCCAATTCCCCAACACTGTTCCCCGTCTCCCAATTCCCCAATAAAAATATTTTTAAAAAAATAAAAATAAAAATAAAAAGGCTAAAAATATTTGTGCTTTACTCCAAGTATTTCTCCTAAAGAAATAACCATAAATATTTAAGCCAAAAAATATACACCAATTTTTTAGAATAGTGAAACTGGGTCAACCTAAAATCCAACTAGAGGAAGATGTATAGCCATTAAATTATTAAGAATTTTAAAAAATATTAATTCTTTTAAATAGTGCATTAAAAATTGCCCTGGAAAGAAATGTATTCCAAAATATTTTTAAAGTGGTTGCTTCTGATTGGAGATATAATGATACTTTTTTAAATTCATATTTATCAGTACTTTCCAAATTTTCTTCAATGAAAATATCTTTACTTTACATTGAGGAAAATATTAAACTAAAAACGAATGGAAAATCAAAAAATAGAAAAAAACATCCAGACATAGTGCAATGTGAATATACTTAACACTACTTAAATGTACCCTTAAAAATGGCTAATATAGTAACTTGTATGTTACATGCTTTTTACCACAATGAAAAAATAATAACATCCAGACAGAATGTCCACAAGGGCAGGTACAGCCTGTTACCTGGAGACCTGACCATCTCAGGCAGCTTGGAAGGAGGGATCTGATAAGTCCCGGCTGAGCAGAGCTCTCTGTTTATTCTGAACCAATAAAATAAAATAGCCACGAGCCTAGAAACTGGCCTCATACTGTGTTGTTGTAGTTTTTCTTCCCTTTTGGAGACGCTTTGGCATTCAGTTCTCCATTTCATCACCTCTACTCACCTCTGAAGACAGGAGAGCAGAGGCCCACACCCACATTGTGGACAAGGACCAGAGGAGGGTCAGGGCATGCTCAGGGCCATGCTCAGACATGACAGGGGGAGCCGGGACAAGGATTGGAGCGACACCCAGGTTTCACCTCTTACTTCCTCCCCAAGGCAACACACATCTCCTCACTCTTAGTCCATTGGCCTCCCCAGTTCCCATCTCCTTTTCCTGGACAGAAGGGCCAACCCAAAAGAGCAAGGACAGGCTTGCTGCGGGGTGAGTGGCCGGGTGTCGGCAGGTGGCCTGGTCTCTACTCCAGTCTTTGTGTAGGGAAAGACCCAAGGCAGACCTTTCAGCTCCCAAACATTCACTAACTGGAACACAACAGGCCTGCAGCTGGTAAATAAGAGGCTTATTAGGAGCTGCATGTCTTGTATCCAAAGAAGAAGACTTTAGGGGCCTCAGTCAATTTCTCAGGGTTTCTATAAGATAATTTCAATCTGAGTTAGTGTGTTACCCTTAGACTCCACTCAGAGATGTTAGGAATCAGGCAAAGTTCAGTAGCTTTTTTTTTTAACTGGGACAAAGCAAAGTTTTAGAAACCTAGGCTTAACATAAAAATGAAAAAAACAAACAAAACGAACTCCCCGTTGCTGAACAAACGTTAGAAATTAAGAGAAAAGCATTGATGGCAAAAGTAAATGATGGTGAAAGATCACTTTGAGCCTTAAAGAAATCAGATAATTATTAATATTAATAGTACTGTCATTATCATTTATTGAGATCTAGTAGATCTCAGATATAGCATAAATTGTACAATAGCTCCAATTCTCAAAATAACCCATGGGACAGGTATTATTATCACCATTTCACAGATGAAGAAACTAAAGTTCAGGGAGGTCTTGCCCAAGTAAGGTGATCTTGCCCAAGTTAACTGTCTCGGTTTATCCAGGACTGTCCTGGATTTAACACTGAAAGTCCTGCACCAGGAAACCCCTGAGCCCCCAGCAACCTAGGACACCTGGCCACCCTAATGCCAAGGCTACATAGCTAGTAGAAAAGCATGGATTCCATCCAGGGTCTGTCTGGCTCCACACTTCACCCTCTTTCCACCATGCCAGAGTGAATCCCATTAAACAAAATACATAGGAAGGAAGGAAGGAAGGAAAGAAGGAAGGAAGGAAGGAAGGAAGGAAGAAAGGA